GGTGGTGGTCAGGAAGAGGGATGTGAAAGCTTCCTCCAGGTGCTAACGGCACAAGAGGGGAGGGGCTGCTCCCCTCACCCTTGGAGCTCACAGGGCGGGCGTGCTTCCTGCCACAGGTCCACCCCACAGATGGAAAACTGGGTTTCCCATGGTGAAAAGGCAGGTGCATGAGAGAGGAGGAGAAAGGATTTGAGAGGTGGGATGCTCAGGCATTATTAGCGAGTCCGGGTTCTCAGGAACGAGTGATATGATTCTGGGCAAACCGTGTGAACTCTCTGGGCTTTCCTCTCATTAATCAGACCAAGAAGTTTCTAAGGTCCCTTTTGTTGCTCCTGCCTCCGAAAAGCGCGTGTATGTGGGGTGGCAGTGATAACCCCTACCTTGAAGGATGGGCTGTTTTGAGAACTGAATGCATGCCTAGCACAGAGCGGCTGCTCATTCCGGTCTCTTCTCCCCCACCTTCATTGCGCACGATCTCGAGGGAGACATTGGGGGAGGAAGGGTGAGAGGCACTGTGCGGCCAGTCCCAGTGTTGGAAGCTGGGAGATGCTGAAAGGCCCCTCTTCGGAGCCATTCCCACACCCAAGTTTCCAGGCATGGGACTCGGGCATCTGATCTACTCTGACCAACTTAGAAAGACTTTGCTCTTCGGTTCCCGCAAAACAACCCCTCCTCCGGCCTGTCTAGTCTTGAAACTTCTGCCCAAGGAAGTTTTCGAGGCCTCTAAAAGTCCCGAATATAACACCGTGAAGCTCTGATTTGCAGTTCTCTCCAGCTGCTAGTGAGGGTGTCTGACAAGGGGGAGACCCCACCATCAGGCTGTGCAGGGGCCCCAGGGCCGTGCCCACCTCGCCGCGCTGGGCAGCTGCCTGGGAAGGCGGGGCTGGGAGCAGGGACGCCTGGCACAGCAGCCGGGCAAACAGACCTCCCGGCCGGGGCTTGCAGAGTGCTGGCGGCGGGAGTGGGCACTGGGGCCCTCGGCCTGTAGCTACTTGCTCTGTGCTGGTGTCGCCAGCGCTTCTGCCCACAGACCTGGGGAGTTTCACAACAGCAGGGAGAGGAAGTAGAACCCCAGGGTGGGTGGGTTCTGGGCTTTAAGAAAGGCCCACTGGCCCGGCCCCCTCAGGTGGGGGGAGAATGCACGAAGCTGGTGGGAGGGGAGGGAGAGCCTAGGGGGGTGGGGTGGGCACCCAGAGCCTCGGGCACGGCAGGAAAGGAAGCCTGTGGCAAAGGATGTTGAGTTCCCTCCACAGCTGAGGTAAGCCATACTAAGAGGACCGCAGGAGGCCACGCCCAGGTTATTGACTCACCTGCCCAAAGAGCTGCCAGGCCTCCTCCCATAGAGGGTGTCTGCTCAGACTCCAAGAGGTCAAGTGGGGTGAAAGGGGAAGGAGCAGGGAGCATTCCATTCAAGGCAAGGTGCAAGGCCCTAGCCTGGGGAATCCAAGATTAGGTGTCTGGTCTTTCCTGCTCCCCTGAGGGGGGGTGCTCTGCCTGTCACACCAGACACCCCAGAACGTGTTTCTCAGCCTGACTAGGCTTTGATATCCCCTTGCGATTCTATGACGTCCCTCTCCCGCTCAGAAACCTTTTCTGGGTCCTTCCTGCTTACCACGGTCCAAATTAAAGTCAAGATTCTCCATGCTTTTACGTCTTCCTAACTTTGCAGTATCACTTCCCAGGGCCTCTGGACACACTGCTTGTGCTCTGGTCACGTCAAGATTACTGACCTGTGAACATGACCCGCTTGCTCTTGCCACCTCATTTCCACTTACGCTGGATGCCTGTCCAGCTGGGTCTTCTCTCCCCTGTAGCAGTGCAAGCTCTGTCTATTCTTCAGCCCCCAGTTTACAGTCCTCTTTTACCATGAAGCCTTTCTGGATTGCCCTGATCTGCACTGTGCATTCATTTCTCGTTTCTGGGGCATGTCTACTGTCTCCCACACACTGGCACCAAAGTATCTTCCACTCTGTAATATTTATGGTTAGTACAGGCTCCAGTAAATGCCTGCGCAGATAGAACCTAAGATGTTCAAGATCTCTTTCACTAGGGGCACCTGGGTGGCTCAGCCAGTTGGATGTCTGACTTTTTTTTTTAACTTTTTTAACTTTTTTTTTTTTTTGAGACAGAGAGAGACAGAGCATGAACGGGGGAGGGGCAGAGAGAGAGAGGGAGACACAGAATCAGAAGCAGGCTCCAGGCTCCGAGCCATCAGCCCAGAGCCCGACATGGGGCTCGAACTCACGGACCACGAGATCGTGACCTGAGCTGAGGTCGGACGCTTAACCAACTGAGCCCCCCAGGCGCCCCTGATGTCTGACTCTTGATCTCACTCAGGTCATGGTCTCACAGTTCCCAAGTCAGGCTCCATGCCAATAGCTGGAGACTGCTTGGGATTCTCTCTCTCCTGCTCTCTCTGCACCACCTCTCTCTCTCTCTTTCTCTCTCTCTCTCTCAAAATAAATAAATAAACTTAAAACATAAAGATCTCTTTCACTAGAACCATAGGATACCTAAGGGGGTGGCGAACATCTTACACTTCCTGTGGTTTCTGCATAAAGGCTAGCCCAGCGAGGCTTCCTGGCCATGGTGTTGACTCCATAGTCTGAAAGATTGCACACCCAACACATCTACGCTGATTGTACCTACCATGTGCTAGTCATTGTCCTTTGCTCAGGAAATGGTAGTGAGACGTGCACCAGCACTGCATGTACCCTAAAATGGCAGGATGGCACACATTGAATGCCAGTCCACTAGATAACTGAGCCCAGCTTGCCTTTTTAATTTCAATAATTGTGACTGAAACATTTTCAAGACAGAATACCTTGTAACAGAACACCTGTAACATCATATTACCTTTTCTTGATGATTCAGAGGCATCATCATTCAGAACAATTACTGGACTTTGCAGGAACAAGGTTATAACCTCAGAATTGTATAGGGCTGTGTCCGTGCACTATATGACTTAGCCTGCTATGGTTTGGAGTTCTTTTTCTTTTTTAATTGAAAAAAAAGTTTTTTTTTAAATGTTTATTTATTTTTGAGAGAGAGACAGAGACAGAGTATGAGTGGGGGGAGGGGTGCAGAGAGAGAGGGAGACACAGAATCCAAAGCAGGCTCC